ACACCCACAGACAGACCTTCTAACCTTTTTAAGACAGCAGCAAGCAAAGAAATATGCGCTATGTGTAGGTTTTAAATGAAAATCCATCAGTTATAAACGGAACGGTGCTATTAAACATTACTTTTCCCTGTTAAACCGGACGTTGAGCCTAACCTATTTGGCTAAAAAACAGCCGTGAAAATAAGTGATAAGCACGCCGATAAGCGGAAAAATTAAAGGGAAAAAAATTAAACGAGGCTTTGCAACATGTGCACACAAATGTCAGGAATTTACATGCCAAAGGGCAGTCCAACGATGACATGCCAGTTGTTATTGAATTGCCTATCCAGTTCCTGCTTAATCGCGGTACACATATCCTCGGGATTCCTGTAGGTAGCGTACGCCGTCACGACAATGTAGAGGAATTCGGGCAGTTTATTCTCATCGACGTCCGTACTGAGGACTTCGGGTTTATCAGGATTCCGCAAAGCCATGTCTTTTTTTCAACACTTGATAAGAGACACTCTCTTTTGTGTGTGTAACTTCTTAAAGATGGCAGAAGGCGAAGCAAACACACCAACGTCTGAGTTGTAGCTGAGACAAGTGTGAGTGTTTGCTTGGCCCTCAGAGGAGGCTACTGAGCAAGCTAATCTAGCGTGACCTGATTGGTGGATGTTTTCCAGCTCGGCTGCACAACGATTGGATAATCAATAGGTCTCTCCCTCTCTCTTTCGCACTCTGTTATGATTTTTAACGTAACAGCAGCAAAAAATGGCAAGGAGAGAGAACAGGTCGAAATAACTACATACTGCAGAAAATAGGCACATACCCTTTTTTGGAGCTGATGCAAACCGATTAAAACTCACTGAGAGCACAGCTCCGGGACAATGCCTTATATATATGCACGTACCTCTACTGGAAGTTTATTTAGGACGTTAATGTTGAAAATTAGAGGAAATAAGCTGTGGCGAATTTCCACAGTCACCCCAATCAGACCACAAGGATGTGCACTTAATCAAGTCAACTTGCATGTGCAGTGTGGGCTAAAAATCGTGCAACTTTAACAACTTTGTAAAAGTTTGATCATTACGCACATACCGCCATCAATGCACTTACAAAAATTTAGCAATAATAATGAACAGCATAGGACATATTTAAAACTTAAAAGAAGTACGAGAAATACTTCGTGATTTTCTAAGAAAAATAAAATTTTCCCCATAATCCCCTAGTTCCGCAGACGTAAAATATAGCTATAAATTAGAACAATAAATTTAAATATTTTGTTCCGATGAAGACGTTACGTTCGCAATTTATAGAAAAAGAACTTCTCTTAAGTCAAAACTTTTTGTACATATTATCCCTGATGAACAACTATTTATTTAACATAGTCCTCTAAATTCTGGCATAATTTCCAACATTTTCAGTGTTTTTATGTGTTCATCCATCAATTGAGCTTCTATTCGACGTTTTCATCAAGACCTTTAAATTAGGTTAGTTTCTGGATGTATGGTTTATAAAAAGTATATGTCTACATAACTTACATTTAATAAAGCCTGCTTTACATTACCTTCAAGGCGATATATACCCGGACG